AGTGTCGACGCTTACTATGCTCGAGCGCGAATTTTCTATGGAGGAAGGTGACTTTTGGTATTTATTTTTAATGAAATGATCTACAAAAATGGGAATGAATTTCTAAAGATAATGAAATGGTCTCCAAAAAATAATTGAAAACTGTCACCAATAAAAATGATATGATAGCGAAAAATAATTAAAAGTGTACTGAAAAAAAAGAAACGGTCTCCAGAAAAAAATAAAATTATTTGCAGAAATAAACGAATTGGTCTCAAAAAAAATAGAACGGTCTTAAGAAAATCTTATTTTGGCTACCTTAAAAAATAAACTGATGTTTAGAAATAAAAAATTGCATCCAAAAAGCTTCTTTTTATCTCTATAAATAAAAAAATGATCACTAAATGCTAAATATCGAAATTTTTGCGGGAAGAAAAGGGATCCGGTCTCCAAAAATATAGAAATAATCTCTAAATCAAAATCTAGAAAAAAATATAGAAATAATCTCTAAATGTTGGGGATTTTGTTTTTTTTATTTTTTGTTGTTTGTAAACAAATCTGCCTATCTTTTTGCATTGCACTGTACATAGTATAATAAATCCATAATAAATACACACAGACAATGCAAAAAGATAGGCAGATTTGTTTACAAACAACAAAAATTAAACAAAACAAAAATCCCCATAACTAATGCATGGGCAATATAAAACTAAATGGCGAACATTTTAAATTTCTCATGGACTGTATACTATGTAAAGTGGCAATGCGAGGATATAGGCAGACTTGTTGACAAATAACGGTAAATGAACAAGATAAAAATCTCACTTGGAGTCTGTTGTATACGCTTCTCTGTCTGTTTCCTTGTGAATGCAAGGGACAAACACTATGTGTGAGAATCGTTAAATGAACAAGCGCGCGTCACAGCGAATATGCACGCAACCAACAGCTGCTGTTGAACAGATCTGTTCACCAGCAGCGCTACATAGCCAGCAACTTCAATGCTCTGAATAATAGCCATGAATGAAGTCCATTATTTTGGACAACAGGGTGGAAAAGCTCTCCATCGGCAAGACCTTTTATTTAGGAGACCGTTTATTTTTGGAGACCTTTTCATTTTTTTTGGAGGCCGTTTCTTTTTTTTGGAGGCCGTTTCTTTTTTTTGGAGGCCGTTTCTTTTTTTTGGAGACCGTTTCATTTTTTTGGAGGCCATTTCTTTTTTTTGGAGGCCGTTTCATTTTTTGGAGACCGTTTCATTTTTTTGGAGGCCATTTCTTTTTTTTTTGGAGGCCGTTTCATTTTTTTGAGATTTTTTACAACAAGCTGGGTTGGTAAATTTTCGGATTTTGAGCGACGTGTAAGTAATTTACGTAAGAAACACGTATCTTACGTTTATTACGTAAGAAACCTCAACGCATGTAATAAACTCCAAAACGCTCGAAAATGTAGAGGGTTATACACAAAAAATGACTTTTTTCGATTGTTTTAAGCATTTGAAGTGTCCACTGTCCAGAGTACACACATGCTCGTTCTCCAGCGTTTGCTAATGCATACACTATTCATGCAAAAGTTTGAAACCACCAGCTATTTCTCAAACAAAGTGTGGTTTTTCGCAGTGTTATCAAGTGTACGCGTAGCCAAATGAATTTTTGTATACTTTTATGTGTCATTTGAATGACAATATAACAAATTTTTAGCAAAAAGTATCAACTTTTTTTGGAAATATAAGACGGCGGATTGGATTCATGCTGATAGTCGCATTTATTCCATGGAAATGGAGAATTATCGAACCAATATGCAAATATTTGCACAAATAGTTGATAGAAAACGTTATTTATAATGTGAAATGACACATGAAAAATACTCAATTCACTTTTTATTCATCATTGGAATTCATTTTTTTACACAAAGAAAGAAAAGAATTAAACTAAAACACCAATTTTCTTCATTTTTAATCCTAAATATTTGGTATTTTACATTATTTCTTCATGAAAAAATCATTCTTCAGGGTTTCTTACAAATTCATGTAAATTACATGATTTTTCATAGGTAAATTACATGATGTAATATACGTAACTTTTATGTCAGATACACGATCGAGTTTCTTACGCACCAACCCAGATGACAATCAACAAATGGACAAGATAGATTTTAGTGCGTATTGAATTTCAACACAATATGGTTGACAATACTTGTACGAAATGGTATGCATGTGTGTTGGTAAAGCTTCGTTCAAGATGTTTCAATCACAGCACACGAAAAAAGTAGGCGCGCATTTCGATTTCGCCTCAATCGAATTCGCCTCAGTTTTTACATGTGAACGCACCCTGCTGAACAAGACCTTGCTGTTTTTGACAGTTCATTTCAACAAACCGTGCGTTCAAAAAATATTTAGTGCGAGGCATAATAGCTATTGTTAAACATCAAAACAATTCATTCTTTTGATATTTTTTCCTTAAATTTGTGAAATTTTTCTAAGGACAATTGAATTCTATCGTCAAATATGTGGGTATTGTCTCACATTTCAACCTGTGAGTAAAAAATTAATTTTTATATGCGCTTCCCCATATAAATTGGTGTTGTTCTTTGCTTTTCAGATCATCGTTTCTTTTTGTTGAACAACGCAAGGAAGTACACTGTTGGCCGTGTGCCACATTGTGATTTGCGTTTAACCGATGATATCTCAGTTAGCCGAGAACATGCTGTGATTCATCGTTCGTCATCTGGTGTTCGTGTGGAGGATACGGGCTCAAAGTATGGCGTATTCGTTAACGATGGCATCGACACAAATACGGAGATTGCGAAAAATACAGCGATTGACCTACAAATTGGTAACATTGTTCGCTTCGGTCGATTGGAAAACACTTTTCGTCTCGAAAACGTTGTCATTAACGCGTGCACATCGTCAATGCAACCGGATGAAACGGATAAATTGAGCAAACACTTGAAAATTCTTGATGGTAAACTGCTACCCGTTTGGAGTACTGATTGCACGCATTTGGTGATGTCAAACGTCACAGTAACAGTGAAGGTGCTATGCACACGGCATACCGATTGTGTCGCCAGATTATTTTGAGGCCTACATAGAATGTGCCACAGCACAACAGGAAGCGCCAAACGTCAACAAATTCGTTCCAACAATCGTTGAACCGTACATCATCAAGGAATCAAAAATGATGGAAGTGCACCTCGAGCGACAGCGCTTGTTCCAGAATAAAACGTTTGTCTTCATGGTGAAACGGCACATGGAAAAGTTTGAGCCAATCATCCGGCAAGCTGCCGGCAAATGCATTAACATGGAAGAGGATAAAGACGTAAGACATTTTTGATCAAAAGTGAATGCATTCCGGTACAATACACTCCTTCGCTCAATTCACAATGTTCGTCCGATATCGAAAACATAATGCGGTACATTGAATCAAATAGTCGTTGGCTCGTAAGCGAAACGAAATCCATTTTTTTATCACCCGGAGCGGAAAATAGTCAGCCAGGACAGTCCGGATGAGAAGAAAACTCACTCAACAGAATGCAAATGCAAATGAAAATGATGTAGTTGATGCTGCTTCCGTTGCCGCGTCACAGAATTCATACAAGAAACCATTCCAACAAACCGTGAACCGTTCATTCAATCAATGACACCGATTGAAATTACATGCGTGCCAACGTGCAATGTCGAATGCGTTTCGTACAAAATGAAGAAAGAATCTTATGCAAAATCATCGCAGCCGCCGAGCTCAGCACGAAATGAGGAGGAAAAATTTGAAGAGGGGGAGTTGACAGATGGAGAGAAAAAACGACAATGGATCAAATCAATGGCAAACGTATTCGAAGTTCGCAAAGTGGAACCACATCGCACAGCAAACCAAAGATTCAAGAAATTCGTTAAGGTAATTTTATTTGAACATTAAAGTTTTCTCTTCAATTTGTTAATTTCTTCATAACATTTTCCATCAACAGAAAAACAACCACATCCCCCGCACAGAGGTCATCAAAACAATCCGGTACCAATCATCATTTCAACTTATGCTAGGCTTTAACCCTCTTATGCATACAACCGCCTCCAGACGGGCAACATTTGAACGCCTGTAGAACATAAATCGTACATCGGCTCACATTGCTTCAAAGGGAATTTTTATTGGTCAATGTTTTCTCTTTATTTTTGTCTTTCGCAATATTTGTCTATGTAGTGTGATTGTAAAGTTATAAATTGTTCTCTGATTTATGTCAATCGCATTTCCTGACTGAACCATGAGGAATTCAGGATTATGAATATTTTTTTAATTATCTATTTATTTATTTATTTATTGATCTAGTACAGACCCTTTTACAATAATCGCTTATCTTTAATTGCTTTCATATATTTGTTTCTTTCATTATTGTTCATATATTTACTTTCATTAAAATCTCTAACTGCTGTCCAAAAGGACTGATTTTTCAAGTAATCGTTCGTGTACGTCGGTAGTTTTAATAATTCTGTGTTGCGTGTTGGCCTATTGTTGTTGCACACTAGTTTCGATTTTAAAAATTTTGATTCGAAATTATCATGCAATAAATCATATATGAACACAAAACAGGCATATACATATCTACTGTGAATCGAGTCAATATTTAGTTCTGAGCAACGGTCATCATAGGGTAGTGTTGGCTTCGAACGTTCGTTCGACCGTTTTACAACATAAAAAAATTGTTTTGTTCGTTCGTTCGTTCGAAAGTTTTGTAAAAAATTATTTTGTTCGTTCGAAAAGTTGAAAATTATTTTTTTTGCTCGTTCGTTCGTTCGAAATTTATAAAAAAGAATTGTTTTTTGTTCGTTCGTTCGGGAATTGCTATGTTCGACCGTTGGGATTTTTTACATTTGAAATACATAGGAAGCAAATACAATTTTGATTTCTTTGGCTAAGACTGAAGGTACAACGTTATTACCAGTGGTATTACTGAGTAATAACACCGGTAATAACGTTGTACCTTCAGTCTTAGCCAAAGAAATCAAAATTGTATCTGCTTCCTACGTATTTCAAATGTACAAAATCCCAACGGTCGAACATAGCAATTCCCGAACGAACGAACAAAAAACAATTTTTTTTTATAAATTTCGAACGAACGAACGAGCAAAACAATTTTTTTTATGTTGTCGAACGGTCGAACAATTGTTCGAAAGTGTTCGACGGCCAACACTATCATAGGGACGAATTGTGTAATTATTATTTGCGTTGGGATATTCTTTGAGTGCCATCATAGTAAATCTTTTCTGAACTCCCTCAATAAAGTCTTTATCTGTGGCCGTGGAGGGGTACCAAATAGCGATACCAAACAATAGTTTACTTTTTACGAATGCGTTGAATAGAACAACCAGAGTGTCAACGTCGAATTTTTTTCCCGCTGTGCGTTTTATGAATCCCATTGTGGAGTTACACGTGGCATGTATTGATTCAATGTGTTTCTTTAATGTTAGCCGTTCATCGATTCTTATACCCAAATCCCGAAAGTCATGAACTCTGTTCAATAATACATCACTCATTTTATATTGTCCGATAAATTTCCCATCACTTCTACTCATAGTGAGAACAGTTTCAGACAATTTATTGTCTTTACACCATTTCAATAATTTGTTGATTTCCAATTGAAACAAAACTAGGTCTTCATTGCTTTTTATCTTCATTACTACTTTGCAGTCGTCAGCAAACAATAGAATCTTGATATATTTCTCAAATATGGTCGGTAAATCATTAATGTAAATCAAAAACAAAACAGGGCCTAAAATGCTACCACCTGAGACACCTGTGTGCATTAAATAATCATTGGAGAGGCTGTTATTTATTTTCACTCTCATTGATCTCGCATTCAAATATGAAGATATCCATTTAATTATGCCTGGGTCAAACTGCATATCGGTCATTTTTCTCAACAAAATTGCATGATCGACTTTGTCGAATGCTTTAGTGAAATCAGTGTATAAAATATCAACTTGGCATTTCTCAGCGAATGCTTCATTTGAAAATGTTACTAGTTCCATGAGGTTTGTGTTTATTGAGTTACCAGGGACAAATCCGTGTTGGCAATCGCTTATACGGTTCCTGAAATGGAACATTATTTCATTGTACATTATTTTCTCAAACAATTTCAGTAATGATGGTAGTAAAGCAATACTCCGATAATTTTCGACATTTTCTTTTGGTCCCTGACTAAGTTCTGTGTGATAGAAGTTGTCATTAAAAGACAGGTGAATTGTAGTCGATGGTTGATTAAAGACTGACGATTTTATTCATGCACTTAAAGACTATATACAATAAATTGCTTAGCTGACTTATTTAAATTCTCCGAATTCTATTCAGGTTATTGTTGCACTTATAACTAAATAATAATTATTTCTTGCTTATGATTCATTATTTCGTGCGATTTCATTATTGTTCGATTCCAGTTAATTCAAAATTATGTCAATAGACATTCTCCGGGCCACCTTTAGCGTGACTGGCGGTGCTCTAAACGGCGAGTCAAATCTTCAGATAGATTTGGCATCGAAATTGCACGTGGTAATCTGATTCGTCTATTACCCCTGATGAAATTTACAACGTAGAATATCAAGCATACAACGATGAACAGAGTGAAATAGTTTACTGAATAGTTATGAATGTCATGAATGTCGATTTTTTCCTTTAATTTAGATTGATTTTCGATGAATTTTAACTGATTTTGTAGTTTAGTCAAATTAGTTTTGGCAAATTCGATCAAATTCGTTGTTCCGTTTGAAATGAATGGCTCGTACGAAGTGAGATTGAATTGGAAATTCGGAATAATGAAATCATGTGGCGCGCGCTCTAAACTCTTTTGGGGCATTAATTCAAAATTATCACCCCGAAGTACGCAATTGTCGTTCAATTTTAGGGTTCCAGAGCCAATAGCGCTGTGGTGATTTACACTATCGCCGCAAATAGATATGAACTTTTCCACATGCTTACAGAAAAATAACCAATTGTTCGGCTCTTCGAGTTCTAACCATTGGTAACGCAAATTTACCTTGGGTAACTCGCAATTCGAGTTGGCTTCATGATTAAAGAGAGACCACACACAAGATTTGAATTGGCTGGTTAGCCACTTGCGGGGCTCGAAGCAGATGACCATGTCATCTGACTGTTTTTTGCATTTCAGTTCATGCTTGTTTCTAATCAATTGATATTTTTGCCGATTTAATGACGCGATAATGACTTCGAATTTAGCATTTATTTTCAGAGTTTCGTCATTGTATACAAATGGCGTTTCATACATATGATACAATTGAAACCTTTCGTCGCTTATCAATGGAATGGCAATTCGAAAAAATAGTGTCTTATTTGTGACAAACGGTTGCCAATTTGTAGAAATCGGTTCCATCCGGAGGTGCCTGTTGGTCTGATAAATATTCACTCATTATATTTAATTG